TCAGTTTATTTTGTTACTTAGATTCCATATATGAGTGAGATCATGTGATACTTGTCTTTCTCTGACTGACTTATTTCACTTTATCTATATTTTTTAACCTCAGACAAATTTTGTAATATATTCAATAGTATTTTCAACCATCTCTGACTTGTATCTTGTCTGATACAGGCTCCCAGAATTTGTACTTTCAACAATAAGAAGTATTATTGATCCTTCCTCTGCTCCAGAAGTAATACATGAAACTGATCTATAAATTTCATAAAAATATTAAAAGAGAATAATTTTTTAAATAATGAAGCAAAAGATTTACAGCTAACTGAATGATAAAGATGTAATTAGTTGTTTTATCTAGGCATAACAAAATAAAAACTAAAATGCCACAATCACCCAAGCTTGAAGTCCTAGATTTATTCTTTACTCATCATTCCCATTCATTCTTTGGTTTGGTCACCAAGATCTGTTAGCATTTGTTCTATTGATAAATCTCTACTGTCTACCTCTACATTTCCATCACTGGAGTCTGTCTGATTCCAGTTAACTCATCCTCAGAATTTCATCCCTGATTTCTCCAATACCTTCCTTTACTGACTCCCATTCTTATTTTTCTCCTATTCTTGACTTCATTCTTACTTTTTGACAGGCTAATACATCCTATAGATAACTATAGATTAACATGCCTTAAAGATCACAGTGCTATGGTTCTTGGTTATTTTTTCTACTAGATCTTAAGTTTTCCCAATTTTTAATGAATCCATTCACATTTCTATCTTCTCTCTTTTCCTCTCTAGTTCTATTTTGTTATTTACTTCCTAAGCTGAAATGATTCCTTATCCCATCTTAGGTCATAGAACCCTTCTCAGAAACACTGCATCTATGGGCCATGTCTTCCAATAAATACACACAAGAATACTTTCAGCAGTACATATTATAAGGCTATGAAAATTAGTATATAGAAGAGGCTTGTAAATACAATTTTCTTAAAGATAGTAACTTCTATTAAAGTTTTTCATTTAATTACTTTTGGAACAATTGTTCTGATATTTACATACTTTTCCTTTTTTTTTTTTGGTAGCACTTGCTTATTATGTATTTCTTCACCTATTTTATATTCCCCTTTTGACCAATATTGTATCATAAAAGAACTGTTCTGGTATATTTCAGAATTGTACATTTTCAGGATATTATTTTTCTGCTTGTTGATATTTCATTTTGGAGAGGATATATCAAGCCAGTCTAAATTTTCCCTTTGGGAATAGGCAAATTTTTTTTTTTACTAGAATACCAATAGGATATTTTCCTTTAAAATTTTTCTTTCAAATTCAAAGTGTTCAACAGTCTATATCTATATGTTGACCACTTTTTACTTATTTATCCTGGTCCATGATAACTAATCATTGGCATATTTGGATGAGATAATCTTCATCAAAAAGAAAATAATTATTGCATGTCACTTAGAGCATGGCTTGTGTTCCGTTTGCTCTGATCTCCCTATCAGGAAGAGCATTTGTGTGTCTCTGTTGGCTGTCTTCCATACACATCATCCTCGCCCCAAACAGAGTGCTCTTTTCATTTCTTTCCTTTGCATAATTGGAGATGTCTAACTCTTAAGCTCCACATCAGAGATTCCCTTGGCTGCAGTGTTCCAACTTTTCACCTTCTGATTCTCCTGGGCTCCCTCCACAGAACCTCACTCCTGCCCCATCTCTGGACTCGTGGATTCAGTCCCTGTCATCTGAGCATTTTCCATTTTGTGTGGCTTCACTTGCCCTGAGTTCTTACAGAAAAATTGCTTCAGAAGTCAAGTAATTCTGTCTTAGCTACAGAATGCTCCCAACTTCCGCCTTCACCCCTTCACCCCTTCACCCCAAGCGGTTCTGCAGGGAGCTAAGTTCCTTATTTTTTGTACAACTCTCTTAGAAAGAGACTTGTGACCTGAACCTTAGTTTTAGCACTAGTTTTGTTAGTCCAGTTCCATCTGTATTGAATCTATGAGAAATGCCTTGGAATCTATAGCCTGGGAGCGAACAGAGTTCTTCTCCCTGTACCTGTGGGGTGCAAGCTTCTCACTATATAAATTGTTTTGATCATTTATTTGAAGTCTGAGTAGAAAAGCAAAAAAGCATAATTATACTCTGGAGCTCAAAACTCCTTTTTCCTAAAAAAAATTAGCATTTACTTTTTTTCCAGCTTACTACTTTTATAGCATTCCTATGTTGATTTTACTCTAAGAGGTACATTTTATCAATATGGATTATATATGAATTTGTTAAAGGGCAAGTCTTTATATAACGCAAAGCTCTTTAGTCTAAGCTAAGCTATTATTTTATCTCCTTTTATTCCTGTAAAAGAGGGAAAGTGATCCACAATAAAAAAAGCAGATCTATCTCAGAAAGCATCTTATTCATAAATATTTAAGAAACCAACTTGAAGATATGCACATATCCATAATATATAATGTGTATGATATATACATAATAATTTATATATCCATAATTTAAACAATCCATATTCCAGAAATGTCATTGTTTTGAATATACCATGAAAAATACAACATTCACTAGAAATAAATCCCTATACTCTAACAATCTATCAAGACATTCATAATGATGAAAAACTAGAAACAGTAACTCTCCAATGACAGAAGTATGGCTACATAAGTGAGGCTGTATTCATGGGGGATAGTCTTCTTAGATAGCCTTTACAATTTTCTAAGTAATAAAATCCTATAGAAACATGAAAAATGCTTATGATAAATATTAAATGGAAAAAACAGTATAAAAATTGTACAATACCATTACTATAACTACACAAAGTATGCAGTCTTTAAAAGGATAGAGCAAATACACAATTATTACAATCCTTTGGTTAGCTTGGTAAGGACAATGGATGTTTATTCTCTGCTTTTTGACCATTTCTGTCATTTCTATCATGTCCAGCTATTTTAAAATTTAAAGGATAAATTAAATATTAAATGCGCTAAGAGTTTTGAAGGTGCAAAAACTTCTTGCACAAGTCCTTGAGATAGGTAAGAATCATATAACATGATAGTCAAACTCTAAAATGTTGATACCATTTTGGAGGAACAATTCATAATTTCTTTAAGCTGAATGTCATAGCTTCCAAATCAAAACTAGAAAATACGACAACTCACTGTCTATCCACTTAGAGATTTGTCTTTCCTGACAGATTCTTAGGGTGTGGGTTCATTTATTTCCTCACTGAATCCCTGGCTCCTGGCCTGGTGCCTGGCTTACAATTAGAATATAGTGCTGAGGATATATGTAATTTTTTTTCTTCCAAAATTCTTAATCCACATGCGATTATTTTCTCCTGGGATAATTTTACATCGCCATGAAGATTCTGAAATTATCTCAGCATCATTGATAAGTGTTATTGTGTATCAATGGTGATGATACAATGATGTGTACCAAGATGTGCATGCACACACACATATGTATGCAGAAAAGCAAAGCAAATGGAAAACATTTCAAAGAAATGCCATACCCAAAGAAGAAGAAAACGCCACTCAAATCTTCAATTCTCTAAACTGCAAGCAAATGATACGATTTTGAGTAGGTCCTCTTTTAAAAGTATAACATCTTCCTCTTTTGAATATCTTACAAATCACATCCAAAGTTATAACTACATTACCGCCAACTCACAAGACATGACTTGTCTTCAACTTCTATGGAGCTTCTAGTATAGTCCTTATCAGTGTCAGCATATCTGTTCTGCCAAGATGTCAAGTCTTCTATGAACACATAAGAGGGTCCCAGGGGCCTGATCATTTGAAAAATGTTCTTCCAAGACTGATTTTTCCTTCACTCTGCTTGGTTTTAGCAATAGCTGGCTCAAAATACACCACAGAGGCCAGAAAAATCCAACACAGAAAGGCCCACAGAATGGAAGCCAACCAGTGAGGAAACAAATGTTTGTTGTAGAGATTTGAGAAGCCATGGTTTTTATTTAGAACTGATGAAACTTAATCTCTGAATGTAAAAAAAACCCCACTCCTGTTGAATGTCTGCCTCAAGGATAACAGCCATAAATCTACCCTCTCCTCTTCTACTTAATTTCAAATGAAATCACAGTTGTAGCTATGAAAATTTGAGTCATAAATTTTTAAAAATAGCCACCTGTTCATATCCGATCCCTATGAAAGGTCTCCAACCTTGGCCTTCTTATGCACAATCACCGGTACCCACCTCCCATTTCACCACCAAGGAAATACCGGCCTATTGAGGACCTATGGATGACCTACACAATATTAAGACTATGATCCAGAGGCCCGAACTTGTGAGTGTATAAGTAATAATATATTCCCTGAAAAATTATGCCTGAGATTGGAAGTTATCCCATGATATTTCCAGAATTTATCAGGATCTGTGTTCAGAGTTTCCCACCATTCTCACAGGGGAAAATTTCCAGGCAGTAGGATAGCCCCCCATTGCTCAGGGCTCCGGGCCCACCTGGTGAGCCTGGAGGTCCACACCAGTTTCTGAAGGGCTCAAAGACAAAACGGTGTTGCTTTGGCAGCTCAGCGTTTTGCTTGCTGTGTGGCCACCCTAATGAGAGCTGCTCAGCCAGGGCAATTCATCAAATGACTGACATGGAGCCCAGAGCAGCCCGCAGGAGCAAGGGCTGGGACAGGCAAGGCCCAGGCCCCTCCTGAAACCTGCTGGAGTCGGTCGGTGCCCGACCCTGCGCCTTCCTCCTCAGGGGCAGCCGGCCCCCGAATCCACCCCATCCCCAACCACCTGCCACCCCGATGCCGCGGGAAGGCCGAGGTCTGCGGGCCCGGGGCTGCCAGCGCCGACCCGCGCGCTTCGGAGGCCGGGGCTGGGGGGCGCATCTCGGCGGCCCGCGCCCCTTCCCCGCCGGGGTGGGGGCGCCCTTTCCTCCCCCGGGGCCGGGCCCTCGCCCCACCCGTCCCCGCCCGCCTGGGCCCAGCCCGGCGAAGGTGACCGACGCGCACCCGGGCTGCGGGAGGCCGTGCCAACCTGTGACACCAGCGCTCAGAGCGGTCATGGTGCGGCGGCGGCGGCGGGGGAGGACGGCGCCCACCGCGCGGGGACGCGAACACGCACCTCCCGGCTCC